CTTTACACCGCAACACGACTCGTTTCTCTTTCGTGAACCTTCATCACACATAAAAGATAGAGACAGATAAAGGGAGAAACTTTGTCAAAATTGCTTTCACCAAAACGAAGCAAAAGAAATAAGGAAAAATGATCGAGTCCCGACGATTCATAAGATAATTTTGTTCTACTTTCTTTTCAAAAGCAAATGTTCCATTCATAACGTTATTTTCATAGTAACCAAGCTATTTCTTCTTCTTCTTCTTCTTCTTCCTTTTGCTTTTACACTTTTCTTTTTTTCTTACCTCCCTCGAATATAGAGATCATGGTAAATCTAATGAATTCTTATAACTTTGTCCATTTTACTCATACATATTTATTAAGATATAAGATAATAGAATCATCTAAATGTTATTAACTGTTTAATATTATTCAAATATTCAATACGTAATAGATAAAAAATAATAGACAGACTATTATTGTGTTTTATTATAACAATATGTATAATCGATTTATCGAAAGGATATCAAAAGCGTTTGATTCTTTGTAAATTAATTGAAATTTCTTTTTCTCGATATGATTATTAAAAAATCATTTAAGAAACGTGATAGAATATTAATAAGAAAAATCTAATTAGTAAAGTAGATTTCTTCGAGTATTATTAGTCTCTTATTCTTCGAAGAAGAAAAATAAAAAAAAAAAACAAAAAAGTAACGTTAGAATAATTAAGCGGTTTTAAGGTGGTTTGCGTAATTCGGTCGTCGTCCAGTGCCATAGTAGTTTCTTTTTAATCCCAGCTAGAGTTATATGGGGGTGTAGGAAGTTAATGACCACTCGTGTAAGCGAAACACAGTAGGGAAGTTGTCCTTGGCTATTACACGAATTCGCTCGGAAGTCAGTACTTTAAAACTAGGCCAACAATACTTGCTTTGTAGAGAGAGAAAGAGAGAGAGAGAGAGAGAGAGAGAGAGAGAGAGAGAGTGTGCATTAATTTACGATCTTACTATGTTATCCCAAGTTCTCCCTAACTTTACAGATACATGCGTCTTATCCTTTATACACTAATTTCTTCCCACTCTCTTGACTTTACAAAATGTCACTTAAAAGTTCCTCTTTGTTTGTTATTTCATTCGTTGCTTAATTACGCGTTCGTTTCTCTCATTTGAATGAAAACTTTTCTAATAATAACTTTGTATATTGTAAGGGAAAAAATTCAAATAAAATACAAATAATTTATGAAGAATAATAAAAAAAAAAAAAAAAAAATAGACGAAGACAATCATTGATATCAGTGCAACCATTTTGATTCTTGGTGTGAACATTAGCTATCATCGATGCGGTTTTTAGGTACCTGCTTCTCATGGAAATCCCCGTGGTTTTACACTACGATATTCCATGGAACAATTTGACTCGATTCACCGACCACATTCACATACGCATTGACGTTTCGATCGATGTCCTGTTCTTTCTTTCTCTCTCTCTCTCTCTCTCTTTTCTATTTTTTTTCTTTTTTCTTTCACACTTTTTATTTTTTTTCTATCCTCTGTCATACACACACACACACATACATACACATATTCTATATATATTCGTTCTTCGACAAGCAATCGTAAATTCAAATTCACGCGACACGATTCATACTCCTCGCACTCATTTTAACACCGAAATACTATCACCTTTGAAAGGGTAGGTGGGTTCCTATCACAAATCCACGTGAATGGTTTACACGTTCGCAAATTTGCCCATGAAATTTCTACGTCGAAAATATCTACTTTATATATATATATTAAAGTGTAGGACACATTCACTCTATTATTTCGTACGTAACGAAATTCAATATTCGATAGACTTGATTAAAAAGCTAATTTTCATACGCGTGAAGTAAAACTACGTGTCTACGTATCTCATCTTCGATAATATTGCTTTTATCATGGTCATAAAATGAACTAAATTATTATTTCACTTATCGATACGCGAAATCTTTTCAAAAGATAGAAAGTTCACGATATCGAAATTGGGGGTAATTAATTTAAAAAAAAAAAAAAAAAAGTCACAGTTTCTCTTGTTTTTCATTTTGAAGAAAATCGATCGAAAAATTTACGTACAAAACGTAACAGTCGTAATAAAAATTAATTAGACGAATAATTTCATTAGTTACGTACGATACTTTTTCTATTAAACGAAGCAACTAATCGAAATAAATTAATTGCATTTCGTATATATTTAACATTGGTTAGGTAAAAGAAATAGCTTATTAAAATAATACGCACGAGTTGACGCGTGTAACGACATTAGTTAATGAAAAAGCACATTTTCGCGTAGCAAGAAAGTACGATATCATCATCATCATCATCATCATTACACGTACATCATCATTTCATCTTTATTAATAGCAAATGAACTTTTAACAAATGTCACATAATGGTATATACTTCCATATACATTTATTTTATCCCCAAAAAAATTCATTCTCCTAATGGTAAGCGTAGAATTTCTATAGATATTTTTGTCGTGTACGATTTTTAATAAAATTCTCAACACACGTAGTATTAGAATCGTGTCTGACAATGAAATAAAAGTAAAAGAAAAAAAAAATAGAGTTAGATTATTTAATCCCCGTAATGCAAAAAAAAAAAAAAAAAAAGAAAAATCTTCAAGTCACGTCGAAAGGGCTCAAAAGGATAACGGTATTAGCTAGCAAAAGTAACCACCGGTAGTGTAACAACACTAAAAAATGCAGATTTCGTAGGAGAGTGAAGGTAGAAAAATAAAGAAAAAAGACAAAAATAAAATAAAGAAGAAGAAGAAGAAGAAGAATAGACAAAGTAGAGTCACGTATATGAAACAAGTCGGAGAGGACTGTGAAATCCTTCGCAGAAAAATCCTTTGCGTTTCGTTTTTAAGCCAAGTGAGGAGGGTAGAGTCCTCCCCCAAACCCATTTCTTATATTCCATTCGCGTGCGAAGGATATAAGGTAGAACTGCTGGTCTCTCTCTCTCTCTCTTTCTCTCTCTTCAAGAAGAAACGTTTGTTTGAACGACGAAAGATGAGCGCGAGATTTCTGAATGACGTTTTTTTTTTATTTTACTCAAAAATAAAAGGGAGATTCCCTTCGGTAAAATATGACCAACCTAATAACAATTTACAATTATCATTTGGTAATTTTTTTTTCTTTCTCTCTTTATTCTCTTCTTTCTTTTTTTAATTTTTTGATTCACGTTCAAGGTGAACAAAAATTCTAATCACGTTCGCGAATTGGTATTAAACTTTTGTTCCTTGTATAATTAGATTTCTTTATCTTTTCTTTTCTTTTCTTTTCTTTTCTCCTTTTGTTTTTTTTTTTTTTTTTTTTTCTTAAAAAGAATTAGCAAACGTACTATGTACTCTACGTGCTATTAAATATAACATTAAACGAAATCTTGTTAGTAAAAAGATATCCAAGTCTTTTGGTGTCTATCAAATAAAACGCGTTATTTTTCTCTGGTTAAAATTACGTTTTCGACGGCAAATCGTGGATCCGTCTCTTTTACTTTCTAAAGCAAATAACTCCTCAATTTACGATGTTTGTTATCACCTTCGATAGCAGAAGAGAAAATGCCGTGCACGAAAATCCCTGGTGAGAGTTGGTTGCAGTTCGCGTTAGCCACATATGTATATATATATATAAATCTGTCTCTCTCTCGCTCTCTCTCTCTCTCTATATATATATATATATATATATATATGTTTACAATACTATCTATATATTATATTATATACGTTGATCATTGTACGTAGAGAAAATAGTGCGAGGGTTGAAAACATATAAACCACCATAATGTACGTCGTCGAATGACCAGCAAGTCATTTCAACCATATGTGATTCCGATCACGTACGCGTATCTGTGGTGTAACTTACGCTTTAACTGAAATTAGGACGAAAGAGTCTTTGTCGCTGACGAGAGTAAAATCGAACGGGTAGAAAACGTTCCTATTCCGTTGAAAAAGTTTTACGGATTTAAAAGCAACTCCTCTACTGATTACATCGCTGCCATTTACTCTTCTTCTAATTAAATCGTTCGTTCCTCTCTCTCTCTCTCTCTCTCTCTCTCCCTCTACCATCGAAAACTCGGCGAAAGCTTTTTATCGTTTCTTCTAACTAACTTCAATCAAATTTACGAGTAGTAGTATATATATATGTGTGTGTATCGTTAGATCGACGACTAAGTCGATAACTAATAAAAATAAACAAAAAAGTAAGGAAGAAAGTTAAAAACCAACAATCATTTAATTTTATTCGTTCTACTTCGAACGTCTCTGACAATAAGCTTTGATCTTACCTACGTGTTTTCAAAAACTAACTCGTAACTATTTTATGACAATCGTATCTTATTACGAAACCATGTGTTTGATTGTGTTAGAATTGTCATCATTTTTGATAGTTTTAATTGACTAAGAATAAAACGAGATTGAAATACTTTATTCTATTAAATAAACGTTTAACTAACCTTCTAGTTGATTCGTTAAATACTTTTGCAATTTCGTTAATAACGAGTGAAGTTAGTATTTCTTTGCTTTATCGATTTACGAACGTGATGAGTAGGTATATGAATAACCTCAGTGATTCGAAATATTTGAAAAGAAATGTAAATAATATAAATCTGACAATTTTTGTATTTTTTCTGTTTTAGTCTTTTTACTTTCTTTATTTTCTCTTTTGTTTTTAATTAATCAAACGATTTCTCGCGCATAGATTAAAAGCAGAAAACGACTTGAGAAAGATCTGAAAAGCCTCAAGATTGATCGACTTTCAAGTAGAATCTATCTTATCCGAGTTAGGGTTCGATTACACTGTCCAAAGTTAAATCACTTTTCTCTCGATGTAGTATAATGAGCTTTAAAATGTTCTTTCTGAATAGTATCTCACGCTATGACGAGAACGATCGAATCAAAACGCGTACTTTTATTATTTTACTTTCGTTTTATATAATAAAAAAATTTTGACTATAATTACGATAGTATTTTAGGACAATTTGATTACAGGTCGAAATGAAAGGAATTTCCGGGCCTATAGAATTTAAAGAAGGACGAAGAATTCAATTTAAATTGGACTTATTGAAGTTAAAGCAGCATTCCTTGGTCAAGGTAGGAATATAATATTATGAATAATCCCTTTTTAAAACGGATAATTTTTTAAAACGATAATGCTTCCTTCTTTTTTCCCCTATGACTCTTTTGCATATCATCAAAGATGCATTAAATATTTTTAAGGAATCGTTTAACTTTCTGTCAAATTTTCTATAAAAAAAAAAAAGGAAACACGTGATTGGTCAACAAAGTGTTAAATCTTTAAAAATGTTATTATCTATCTTTCTTTTCTACCATCTTTTAAATTTTTTCTACCAAAACGTTTTTCTTTTCAAAAAATCATGTGTGCAGATCACACGCATTAGAAGTGAAACATTCAAAAAACTAAGTATAAAAAATACCCTACGGACTTATCGGAAAGACCCTATGTAGAATACTTTTTTTATAATCACTTCCTATTCTAAAGAAGTATTCACTGCAACAAAAATATAAAATCATGTAATATACTTGTATATAAGTGACATCATTAAATATGAATATTAAATTGTGGTGACAGGTAGGAGAATGGCGTCCTGGTGTTGGGGTCAACGTCACAGATACCGCAGCATTCTACGAAGCAAGTTCAGCTAATGTAACACTGATAGTTATCACAATATTGGTAAGTTATCGTAGTTGATTAATATTGTATATTTAGAATTAATAAATTATTTATTTATAATATATTACGATAACTCTTTTTCTCTTTCTCTATGAAATGTTTTGCTGTTTTTTCTTTTTTTTTTTTTTTTTGTTAGTAACATTTATATTGTCCATATAGATTTTTCAAATAGATATTCGTAGGTCGGTCGCGAAACAAGAGGGTAAAATATCAAGCAAGAAGGCATTTTGTTTGATTTCTTCGCGATGATTGAGACAAATATTTTCATTTTGTTATTTTATCTCCCTCTTTCCTCCCCCCCCCCTCCTGGAAAATGTTCGATTGTACGTGGAATAGAAAAAGAAAGAAAAATAATATATATATATATATAGGAGTTTTGCAAAAAGGATTTTTTCCGCCTTTACGATGAATCAAATATCATCGATTTTGATATTTCTTGCATGAGTTTCATTCGTGGACAGGAAACACCGTATGTGATGATGCACTACGAAAAGAACTACACCGGGAATTCGCGGTTTTATGGTTTTTGCGTGGACCTGCTCGAGGCGGTGGCAAGAGAAGTCGGATTCTCGTATCGACTGGATTTGGTACCTGACAGGAAGTACGGTGCAAGAGATCCTGAAACAGGCGAATGGAACGGCATCGTCAGAGAACTCATGCGACATGTATGATTTGGTTTGTTTGATTTATTAGATTTCAATCGAATTCATATATATTTATATATATATTTATATATTTTTTGATTGCTCTTATCTCTTTTTTTAGATAATACTCCCCTTTTATTATTTTAAAATTTATCTTCTCTATTGATCTTTTTTTTTATCTCTTTTTGATCTCGTTGTAGTTGTAGTATTATATTTCACCTAACAAGTAGACATCGATATGTTATACGTTCCACAACACACGTTCTTCCCTTTATCACTCGATTATATTGCACTTATAATTCTGCTTATTGATTAGTACCTCGTTTAATATGTTTGTTTTATTATTGTTATCTCTCTTTTTCTCTTTCTTTGTATTCGTTTAATCGATTACGCTTGTATAATGCTCTTTTTATTTCCTGATCTTTCTATTATACGTAATAATCAAATAAATCAATCTCGAAACGGAATAAAACTACGGAAAACCGTGGAGAAATTGCGTAAGCCATTAATTTATCAAAATCGATCATTATTTTTCATTTCATTGATGTGTTTCATTAATTTTATTGCTTCGATATTTGTTCTTTGCAAAAATACATATTTTATATTATAGATATTATCATTATTACACTTTAGATTTAAGATGCATATGTTGTCGTGTAGAATATTATATATCTCTCTCCCTAACCTTTACCATGCCCTGTTCCCTCTCTCAAACCCCATGGATTATGTATTCCGCTTGGCTATTCCTCATAGTTCTCAGAAACGTGCGAGAACGTCAAAACTATGACGTGCATTTATATCGAAGTAACGCTATTTATAAAGTCTTAATATTAAATTTCAACTCCTACGTAAAAGAAATATTCGTTTTGCCAAGTTTAATTGCTCTCTCCCTCTCTCTCTCTCTCTCTCTCTCTCTCTCTCTCTCTCTCTTTCTTTCTTTCTGTAGTTGATTTGATATCGTAGAAACAGTAAACTGGAACGAAGAGATAGAAGCTGGTGGAACCTTAAGTGTACATTTTTGACGGTGAGTTTAAAAAATTTATATAACATTTCCATTAGAAATTTACGCGTTTATTCGTACGATATTATAATAAAAAAAAAAGAAAAGAAAAATAATCATATGAAAATAACCATAATAAGTTTTTGTGAATGTAAAATATTCTACAATATATGTTGCTTCGAAAAAATTACTAATCTCTCGCTAGCTGCCATTGAAGTAAAATGCATCATCGTGTCCTGGCTTAATGTACAAAACTCGCCCGATAAAATGTACATAAATTTTTCTTTCTTTTCCTTTCTTCTACATTAATCGTAAATGTGGTATAAGAGAGATGGGGAGTTTGAGCAAAAGAAAAAAAAAAAAAGAAACAACATAAGTTCGTAGATTGTACGCGTAAGGGTATCTGAACGATGTCGACCATTATCTCAAACCATACTTCCTGTGTATGGGACCTTTTCCTCGCGTAACATTGACTCGTAACGATGACAAATATAACGTGAAAGAAACTTAGTATTATACATTTAAACTTAACGTTTAAAGTAAGTGCCAGGAAAGTGGTAGGTAAGTAGGTAGGTAGGTAGGTAGGTAGGTAGGTAGGTAGGTAGATAGGTAGGTGAAATTGATTGGGTAAATACTCGATGCGAGACAAGTGGATAAAAGTGTGTCTAAGTGGTCAGAGGTCAAACTGACGAAAGAAAAATACAAAAAAAAAATGTTATTTGCGTTTTCATTGGCTACTGTTTTGATTTTTTTCATTTCTTTTTGATCTACAAATATTCTTTCACGTAAGAACAATCAATTTTCCATTAATTAATTCACATGGAAATTCCAATAAAACGAATTTTCACGATATAATTAATATCTGTGTGAGTTAACACAAGTATTATTCACTTATCATTTCGCGATGTTGGTTTGTCGGTTGCTTATACATTCATAGAGAGACCGTGTTCTTCCTAACTTCTCTGTCTTTCTATTTCTCTCTCTTCCTCTCCTTCTTTTACCACTGAACATAACGAGCTTTGTGGAATAGTAATCCATTTAAGTGGTCGATCGGCATCGCTATCGAAACAGAGGGTGAACAAAGAGTGAGAAAGAGAGAAAGACAGTGTAACACTTTGACCAATCGATTCATTCTAATTTCTTTCCTATCCTCCTATACTACTTCTATCTTTTTTCTCCTTTCTCTTTTTTTACTTCAAACAAGTCGTCGGAAAATAGAATAAGAATCGATGTAAGGGGGAGGAAAGGGGTGAGAAAGTTACGATAGAAGGATGAAGAAGAAGAAAAGGAAGAAGAAGAAGAAGAACAAGTGAAAAATATAAAAAAGAAAAAAAAGAAAGAAAGGAACGAAAGGTTCGAATGAAGATGGAAGAAAAGGGTGGATTTGAGTTAAAGACCGAAGAAAGTGGTGATGGTGATGGTAGCTCCTTTTTATGGTCCCTTCCCCCGCCCTATAGGAGCAGCCGTACGTAATGCTGAGGAGCAGAGGGAATTTCAGTGGAAACGAGCGTTACGAGGGCTTCTGCATCGACCTGCTGAAGGAGATAGCACACATGGTGGGCTTCACCTACAGGATCGAGCTCGTGCCGGATGGCAAGTACGGCGTTTACGATTACGAGACCGGCGAATGGAACGGAATAGTTCGCCAACTGATGGACAAGGTGAGCTACCACTACGTGCGTTTTCACTCCGAGGCGTAATTATTAATCGCAATATGATTATTCGATCCTGAATTCTTCAAACCTCGCTTCTATAACAGCCCTTTTTTTATATCCATTTGTTGTCCCCATATTCATATCAAATAAATCGTGTGAATCGTATACATCACGTACTTCAAAATCTCAAAGCTTGACAAGAAAAACTAAACGTAAGAAAATATCGTAGAATATAAAAGAATATACCATCTTTTTGGCATGATATTATAAAAAGACAAAAAAAAAAAAAAACAATTTTCTGCGTATATTCGTCGTTTGACTCAGCGATTTGACTTCTTCGTCCTCATGTAAAGGTCTCCCTTTATATTACACATATAGATATATATATATATATGTTGAAGTAAAATAGAAAAACTCAACGCTATGGAATAAAAGAAAGAAAGGAAAGAATCAGCAGAGAATCTTTTGTGTTACGTTATCGAGTAAGCATCGAGAAAAGACAGGTATCTTTATATAGACATATCTAGTTTCTACAGCGACATAAGGTACGAGAAATAAATCTACCTAAACTGGGTATGGTGTGGTGGCACCGTAGTAGTGCTTCAACGGGGAAAAAGTATGTGCTTTTTCAAACGCTGAAAAAGCAGTTACACACATAGATAGATAGATACATATATACACGTAGAAAATTTCAAGTGCGTATGTAATACGTACTTTGTGAAATTCTACCCTTCTTCCTACTTACCCTTTTACTCCCTTTCTTTCTTTTCCCTTCCTTCATTTTCTTTTTCGTTTGCTTTCAATCCATCTGTTTTTCTTCCTCGTTTATTTATTTTTATGTCTTTTTGTGTTTTGCCCCCTTTTATGTTTTTCCTTTCATTCGACACCGATCAATTTCTATTTCATTCTATTCGTCACACAGTTCTTTCCAATTAATATGAGACGCTTGGATTTATTATTAAATATTGCTTATAATATTATTGCTTCTTTAAATGATTTACCTGACGAACAAACCTAGGATCCTGAGAACGATCAAAGGCGTGGCAAAAAAAAAAGGTTTGACAGGAAGTAGATAAAATTGTCTAAAGCACATGCACGTTTATTGAAAAAAAAAAAAGCAGCAATGTTATTAATTGAATTTATTTTCCCTGCAACATACACACACACACACACACACACACACACATATTTTTGTATGCATTTTTCTTATTCTTTTGTATTTGAATTAGACGTAGATCAATTTATAGATGTCGTTTGTTAATATTTCTATGTTTTATACGAATGGATTAATCAAAGACATATCTTATAATTTGAAAATAAATAATTGTAAAGTTCTTGTTAAATCTATTTTTTTTTTCTTTCTCTCTTCTGCTTTTTTCAGAAAGCTGATTTAGCAGTGGGATCAATGACGATTAATTACGCACGAGAGAGTGTCATTGACTTTACGAAACCCTTCATGAATCTTGGAATTTCCATTCTATTTAAGGTAAGAACGAAGTAAAAGCACGTGCTTTTATTTTATTCTTTTTTTTTTTCTTTTTCAACTTTTATATTGTCATTTGATCTTTTTGAACGTCGAGTATGGGTAAAGTTTATCTACTTGGAACGAATAAACGATTACTTTTGTTCCACACGCCATGAAAGAGTCGTATTTAAAGAAGGAAGGAACCAGTATAAACCAACCCTTTTAATCCTAGCTCGAGCTCGCCATTGGAAATTGCATCCCGCGGCTAAATCTCATATTTTTACTTCATCCGGATTTCCGCATTGTTGATCTCGCTTCTTGATTTCTTTTCCTTTTTTCTTTTTTTTTTTTTTTTCTTATTCAAATATCTTTTACTTTTCAAGCTTGCCAATCCATCATCACTCTTATCTAAACATACTCCGTTTGTTTATATCTCTTTCTTACTTCTTTTCATCAATACCCCACTTGCGTTTAAGTATTTCATATATACACCGTATATATGCATTAGACGTTATTTACTTGCTCTCTCACTTCAATCGCTCCCCTTTGTTTCCTATCTTTTTATTTCCATCTTGAATACGGGCTCAACCCGCATGTGAAGAATATTAATTGATGATCTCTTTTTGATTCTCTAAAAATGCATCGTCGTAGAACAAATACGATTCATGTTTTATCCTTTTGTTTTCCTTTTTTTTTTTTTTTTAAAAGAAAGAGAGAGAAAAAAAGGGGTATGAAGTATCCACTTCCTTTCATGAATACTATTAAATAGAGATTTGTCAAGAAGTACACATATATACANAAGTGAATAAGAGAGAGAGAGAGAGAGAGAGAGAGAGAGAGAGAGAGAGAGAGAGAGAGAGAGTGAGAGTGAGAAGGACAATTTAACGTTTCATGAATAATAGGAACGAGAACAAAGAGGGTAACAAATATGTTCGATGACGATACTCTCCATATAACTTAATACGTCTTTGAAAGTATTTTAAGTGTGACCTAATAACACAGTACCATCTCTTAAAATATTAGAAGGTCCGGGATAAAAGCAGATGCTTGGTTCTCGCGGACGCATCAGCGAACAAATAGAATCGGTTGATTCAAAATTTACCACTAGTTTCTTCTTTTAATGGAAAAAAGGAAAAGGTACTATACAATGTTGAAGAATAAAAGAGGAATCCTTCCAGATGGTTGGAGCTAAATTTAAGTCGAAAAAGAGAAAGAGAGAGAGAGAGAGAGAGGTACGAAAAAATAGCGTGATTTTAAAAAAGAAATTTCTTTTTTTTTTTTTCTTTTACAAAAAGGTGCATCGCGAAATAAATGTTTATCTACGTTTCAAAAATGAAAATACAATGTTTGAATTGAGAGAGGAATTATCTTGGAAATATTTGACTACCACGTAAGGGATGGAAGTTAGACGAGACACCTGGAAAATGGTAATTGATGTTAAAGGGGAAATGATTAAAGGTCACTTTGAGTAACCACATCTCTTGAGTAACATTAACTATAATTAATTAGTCACCTAACATTAATTAGATGACGTAGGTGGTACTCGTGGTCCAACACTTGATTACATAATTAAGGAAAGGCTATTAATTGTAATTACTTCGATGTTACTTGGAAAACGAATATATGTAAATTGGAAAAAAAAAAATATCAAAATTGTGTCGCGTAACTTATTTTTGACAATTCATTTGACTTTTTACCAGAGTTCGTTATCTTTGGTTCTTTTGAAAGAATTTTCTCAAAAAAAAAAAAAAAAAAAATAAAAAAGGAAAAGAAAAGAAGATAGGAATCCAGAAGAAAAGTGTAAAGGTATAGGGTATAGAGTGGGAGAAGAAATAAGAGCGAACCTAATTCTCGTAAATTCTATCGGAATGGTCGAGTGAATTTCCCGTTAGACGGAAAGAAACGAAAGAGACGAAGTAGAGAATGAAACGAACCTAGAAACAAAAGTGATTCCAATTGCTCGGAACTGATGCGCGCACCCAAAACGCGTTCTTGTTATATATCTATATATATATATATATATATATATATTTCTAGAGACGAGTACAAGATAGAAAAGAGAATAGAAAATAGAAAAATACAAAAATAGGAAAAAAAAAGAACATCGATAGAAAGGGTTAGATCTTTTGAATGGTCATTGCTTGCAAAACCGAAACAATAGTAAAGAACAAAGATCGTTTATTAAATCATCGATGCGCCATCAGGTGTGCCTACCATTAATTAGTCCGGCGACACGTGCATCGAGAGTAACCGAAACGTGTGCATACGGTTCTCGAATTCATGCTAGTGCACGGAATATTACTGTCGCATCGAGGAGCTTCGCGAATGCACCGGTGCACTCGATAGAAAGCGTTCATTCATTAAGGATTTAACAAAGCGTTTCATATCCTAGACTCGGATGCGTTCACGATTGATATTTTCTACATGTCCTACCTATGTATATGCATGTATATATGTGTACTTCTTGACAAATCTCTATTTAATAGTATTCATGAAAGGAAGTGGATACTTCATACCCCTTTTTTTCTCTCTCTTTCTTTTTCTATCTTATTATTTTTCTTCCTCTCTCTCTCTCTCTCTCTCTCTCTCTCTCTCTCTCTTATTCACTTTGTCTTCTATAATTGTATCGTATAACGTAGGAATCGATAATAGAGAAGTCACATTTAACAAGTCAATTTACAATGCCCTTTTCTAGATTCTCTATAAACAATTATATTTATTAATTAATATTATTATTACACGAATAAGTTTCATGTATTATATTTGTATATATTACCTATATGTAATAAGAAGATAATAATGAACCTTTGCGTTTATTTCCTTTGTGATATAGATCAAAGAAAATTAATCTGTTACGAGGATGCATAATTATCGAGCTAAGGTATTCTCTTTGATCACATTTACCTATTATCATAGGTATAATCTATCTCGGTGATGAACGACCTTTGTTCTGCAGTTTGCCAAAATTGAAAACTTAATATTTCGTAATAATATTATCATTTACTTATCTCACATTTCTAATGAGCTTTCCTATATATTGAGGATATATATATATATATATATAGGTTTTGAAATGTGAACTCTAATACAATTATTCGGTAGTGCGTTCGGTAAAATGTTTACACTCTATTTAATGAAATTCAATCTTTTTATTCGTTTTACCTTCAATTTGCAGATTGTCTGTATTGTTCTGTATATATATATATATAATTTTTTACCAATATTCCAGAAGACGTGATAAAATAAATTAGTCTTTTATTAGTTACATAAAAATAATAAATTATTTTTTATTAAAAATATATTTATATATTTTATTTTATATATTAATATTGGTCGGTATACCAAACGGGAAAAGACCACTAGGTAGACCGACACGTAGATGGGAGGATAATATTAGAAGAGACTTATAAGAAATAGGATACGAAGACCGCGAATGAAAGGATCGCGATCAGGGATGGGAACAATGGCGGAATTTGGTATTTACGACAATGAACTTCCGAGTTCCTAATGCCAATTAATTAATAATAATAATAATAATATATTTATATATTTAAGGATATATATATATATGAAAAATAAAAACCTATTTTCAAGTTATTATTGCAATGTTAAAGTTTAATAATAATGAATAATACTTGTCTAAGAGAATATTTGTTTTTCATTAATCACGCGTTTCGCATAATAACTTGAACCCTTCCGGGGAAGATATTTTTCTTTGTTCTAAATGGCTCGACAGGTGCCAACCAGCCACCCTGCGCGACTATTCTCGTTTATGAATCCTTTGGCGATCGAGATTTGGTTGTACGTCTTGGCAGCCTACGTTTTGGTATCCGTGACGATGTTCGTCGTTGCAAGATTCAGTCCTTACGAATGGAATCATCCTTATTCTTGTCACGTCGGCCCAGAAATCATCGAAAATCAATTTTCTCTGTCGAACAGTTTTTGGTTCACAATTGGTACACTTATGCAACAAGGCAGTGATTTAAATCCAAAGGTATCTTTTATTCATATTTTTATTTTATTTTATTATTATATTACATATATTTATTTGAAAAAATAATGTAATAATTTATTTGATTGCATTCACTAGGCAACCAGCACTCGCATAGTCGGTGGTATATGGTGGTTCTTCACTTTAATAATCATTTCATCGTACACGGCTAATTTAGCGGCATTTTTAACCGTCGAAAGAATGATCACACCCATAGAAAATGCCGAAGATCTTGCAAGTCAAACTGACATCACTTATGGTACTCTTGACAGTGGTAGCACGATGACCTTTTTTAGGGTAACTTTATTCATTACTTTATTATTTCTTTGGATAATTCATTATAACGATAAATAAGAGAGTGTATTATAATTTTAATATTAATAGGATTCGATGATCGAAACGTATAAGAAAATGTGGCGTTTTATGGAAAATCGTAAACCATCCGTATTCGTGCCAACTTACGAGGAAGGAATTCAACGAGTACTTCAAGGAGATTACGCATTTTTGATGGAGTCAACTATGTTGGATTATATCGTACAAAGAGATTGCAATCTCACTCAAATCGGTGGTCTTTTGGATAGCAAAGGTTATGGGATAGCTACACCTATGGGTAATCAAAATTGCTGATTCTTTTTCTCTTTCAAATGTCAAGTTATTTCTAAAGAAATATAAAACAGTTATGATAGAAATAAATCTTAAGAGTATTATATTATCGAAGTCACGTAATCTCGTAACACGTTTTCTTCTAGGATCTCCTTGGCGGGACAAAATATCTCTGGCGATTTTGGAACTTCAAGAAAAGGGTGAAATTCAAATGTTATATGATAAATGGTGGAAGAGTCCTGGTGACACCTGCATGAGAACTGAAAAAGGAAAGGAGAGTAAAGCCAACGCTTTGGGTGTCGACAATATAGGTCAGTAAAGAAAATCTTTTACACTTTGTTCTTATATTCTTTTCTGTTTCTGACACAGATCATTATTATTCTTTATATTTATCAAATTGAAGCATGTAAATATTTATTTCTTGCCTTTTATATAACAAAATGATTCGATTTCGATTGAAGGATTTATTGTATTCACCGAAACGAGTTAGAAAAAAAAATGTAAAACAAATCACAGAAAGTTAAAAAATGTATTCGCAAAAACATAGCCAAACTGAAGCATACATTTCAGGTTTATCAAAACCCTTTGGGCATTCTATAGATTTTGGTTTCTGTATATTGATTGTAGTATCATATATTTCCAAGGAATACTCGATTTTATTTGAACTATACTATTTACGTCATCTATAGTCAATTTTATCGTTAACCTTATTTTTGACACTTCAACGTGAAACTAATTTTCCAATGTTATTTTTTCGATGTAATTACGGTATCCTACGAATTTTTTGTTCCTTATTAGGTGGTGTCTTTGTCGTTTTACTCTGTGGATTGGCATTTGCCGTGCTGATAGCAATCTTCGAATTTTGTTACAACTCCAGAAGAAACGCACCAGCCGAACGAGTGAGTCAATTTACATACAAATCTATAATTAATTCAAAACTTTATTTATACCTTTTGTTTGTTTTTTTTTTTTTTTTTTTTAATTCTTTAATCTATTATTTAATATCATTCATCTTTATCGTATATTTGAATTTTTCATTTAATTAATTATCAATCAACCTAGATTTTCTCGTCGATTGGTTTACAACAAAAAAATAAAAAAGAAAGCAAATACGTGTTATGATTTTCATTGAAAAGTCGTTGATTTTCAGTAATCATTGATAAACACAGACAGAACGTGTCATTAATCGAACAAAAAGAGGGGAACGATATTATTATTAATCGGGACTTCGGATACATTTGGTTTGCATGAAATTTTCTCGGTTTTGTGTTTCATCTCGACACCACGAAACGACCGACACAACACTATTTCTCTCTCAGCATGAACTCATCGTCCATTGAAGCATGTCAACCGATCTTCAGTGTTCTACGTTCCAAAATAGACGAAGGTCCGTTCAATAATAATTATTATTATTATAATAATAATAGTATTATCATTTTATCGGACGTATCGTGAAAAATATTATGTAACATTTTCTTTTAATAATCAATTATAAAATACAATATATATATATATATATATATATTTTCGAACTTATTATAACACTTTGCAGACGGTACAGACAGTGATCTACATTCCATGAATGAACAAAAGTTAAAAACGAAAAACCATAATCTAACATCAGTGATGAATTTGATTTTTACCAAAAAAAAAAAAACAATGACTAATAAATCAATGTATATATGTAATCGATCAATTTTATATGAACAAAATGAAGATAATTCCAATGAAGTTGATTAACACACGTTCATATTAGGGTGAACCAAAAGTTCGTGTATTTATTGTGTTGTTTTAGATAATGCTGTTTTATAAAAAAAATATAAATTTCTAAAATATTCATTTAAAAACGTACTAAATTTAGATTCACCCTAATAACTTACAATTATACATTTATTCACGTGTAAAATAGCGACCGTCTGGAAAGTGTTAAAACGAAGAAAAAAAAGAAAGAGAAAGAAAATAAATCTAAAAATAGATAAATGATTGTTAATCATAGAGAGGACCAATAGCTATGCCTACATGCTCGGGTTCTCTACAGGGTATTTCTCAAACTGTGCAACAACAACAACAGCAACAACAACAACTTCATCAACAACAACAACAACAGCAACAACAAACGAATCAACAAAATCATCAACAACAACAACAACAAGAATCGCTTTGCTCAGAAATGGCTCGAGAATTATGTCGTGCCTTGCGTTGTCACGCGTCCTCACGACGTCGCCGTGCATGTGAAAAATGTTCGACACATGTAATCGGTTATCCGCAGGATAATAATCCCACTGCCACCCCCATCAACGGGATGAGATCCCAGGTATACCTAGTACAATTTCTAATTACACATCAATGTTTAGATTAACGTGTACTGTCAATCTCGCGTTTCCTGTTCTGATGACAATAGAACAACTCTGACGATGACTAAAACGATGACTATGACGATGACAGAGTATCGATTCTACGAAGATTAGAATATAAATGATTGATGAATCCAAACGATACAATTCTACACACACACACCACACACAAATTTCATTCTATGATAGTATTATTATTATTATTACTTTACAGAGAAGCAGCCTGGGTGTACCTACGGTCGAATTGCAACCAGCACACATTCATGCGCATCATCATGCATCGCCGCACGATTATGATGGCAATTAAGAGCTAAAACGCTCTGAAAACTATAGACGAATCACACTAGACTAATCCGTTAACGAGTTATCGGATCAGAGGACGAGAGATATCAATTCGATGATTCTATTTTAACACGCGTTCTCTTTATGTGTCGTACTACTCGTTCTCTTATTCTCGTGTGTCACGGTTATCGATCCACGATTCCTTATCTTTTTATTTTTTTTCTTCTCTCTTTCCTTCCCTTTTTTCTCTGTCTTTCTCATTTTGTTTTCTCGGAGAATAGGAAGGGAGTTTAAATACAACACCGCTGCACAATTCTTCTCGATAATATTTGCATTCGGTAAATCCGTCGACTTACGTACGTTACGTCTTCTACCTCTTTTGTAAGAATAATCAAATAATAATAATAATATTAAATAATAATAATAATTATTATTATAATCAATGAAATGAAAGCGCGTCAGTTCGGGTTTATTTGTTCTTTTTGTTGTTCTTATTTTTATTTTTATTTTTTTTTTGTTCCTTTTTTCCATAAATGTATGAACATCCCAACGACGTTGCATTCGCACACGAACGAACTAACGAACTCGCTGAAATGACAATGAAACGTAAGAGAGATAAAAATGAATTATTAGTTGATTTAGAATTAATGTATGTGATTTTATTCATTTGAAAATGTGTAGTATACGGATAAATTATTTTCTTCTCGCTTCGCACAAATTGAAAAATATACGGTGCACTAGAAAAAGCGAGAGGTAATGAATAAAAAAAAAAAAAAGAAAAAAAAGAAAGTAAAAGAGGGGATTTTATATAATAGAGAAAATATTATTATTTATTACATTAGATATATATAGATAGATCAAAATGAATATTTATGATTTAGAAAATATCCTTTTATTCTCTCTGCGAATTCGTACGTGTGTATGTAATATCTATGTACACTACACCACCAACACCAAAGTTATTACTATTTTACCACAACCATTCACCACACCACTATCACTACCACCACCGTTTCCAAAGTGTTCGTGAACAAATTTTTGCATTAAATATATCTTTAAGGATATCACATTCAACTTTCTTCACCGTCTTGTAATATTTACATAAATATAATAATAATAATAATAATAATAATAATTTAAAAAAAAAAAAAGAAATTAAACAGACAAAAAAAGAAAAAAGAAAAAAGAAAATGCAAACGTTGTACTCTCAGAACTATTTTGTGCACATGATATGACGTTGCAGTCATAATAAAAAAAAATCACCCACGATTTTACGAGAAATAGGATAACAAAACAACACACACATACATATATATATATATACACACACATACAAGGGACAAATGATTTATTTAGCGACGAGATGATAGAGTGGTACCCTGATCTCTCTCTCCTGTAAATATTTACGGTGAAAATAAACGAGGAAGTAGACGACGCAAGTATTTTACTTATAAGAAGATGAAGATGTGAAGAAAAATAAAAAAGGAAAAATAACGAGCGAGAGCATATATATATGTGTTAGCGCTAAACCCAAGTACAAGTTAGACTTTTGGTGTCATATAAAACGTACTTATGTATTATAATAAGCAAACTAGATGAACGAATAAAAATCTAAAATGATGATAAAAATAAATCATACGTTGAGCGTTTCATACTTCCCGTATATATCAAATTTGGAAATAAATGTGAACAAATGGAAGAAGAAGGTAAAGGCATTGTATTAATAAAAATAACAAACTCATAACAACGTGAATGGGTGATATAAAAATAATCCACACACCCTTTTCTATAACATACCTACCCCATCACCACCACCACCACTACTACAATAAGGAAATGTAAAAAGTCATTGAATATTTGTGTGTTGCTTTTTTTTTTATATAACATCATTTATTAAGGGATAAAATAAATGACAAATAACATATCACTTATATGAAACTATAACATTTCTTATATAGTATTCATTATTCATTATGATATAAAAGAAATCACATCACATACGACCCTTCGCGCATGGTTACCATCGCTCCTACTCGAATCGTCATTCATACCTCGCGTTTTTCAACGTGTCGTTTATTTTGTTTCATTATTTGTTTCTTTTTCTGGGGTTTTTTTCTTTTTTTTTGTTTTTTTTTTTTTTCTTTATAATATTTTCTTCAATACGTTTATAATGCATTTTGTATCTGTTTTTTTTTTCTTCTTTACTTTACTTTTCTTTTCTTTTTGTTTTTGTATTTCGCGCGAAGAGAGCTGACAAATATAATAATAATAATATTAATAATAATAATAATAATATTAATAATTACAAATATTACGAAGGAAACAAATAATAATAATACTAATAATCAAGCGACAGAACGATGTGTAGTAATAATAATAATAGTAATAATATTAATAATAATAATAATAATAATAATAGTAATGATGATGACGATGACAATGATGATGATGATGATAAAAATAACAAAAATCGAACGGGAGGAATACACCAGAGTTTTCTTGTTCTTTTTTTTTTTTTTTTTATAAAAAAAAAACGAAGCTCATCCTTAACCCCATGATTTGATTAGGCGTGGACCGCATAGCTTAATCGAATCATTAGAGTTGAGATGACATTTTGGAAGTAGCCTCAATTAATTTACTCTGGTTAAAATATATTTTATATATATATATTTGAAAAATGTGGATGGGAAGAGGACCGATTATAAAGAAAAAAAAAAAAAGAAAAAAAAACGCGAACTATCATAGATCGAGATCGAATAGAAAAAAAAAAGGGAAAAAGAAATGTGATGGAAGTGTGGGTGATGGTAAACTGGAAAAAAGACCATAATGGGACTTAAAGAAAGGTATCGACAAATAATGAATTATTTATCGAAAAGATAAAACTACTACACTACACTCTCGATCACTTTCAAATCAACGATTTGAATAACACGACGAAGGATATACAAAAAAAAAACAATACGTATATATATATATATATATATAACGATGTTGAATTATTTAAGCGAAAAATACGCGAAATACGATTTAAAAAAAAAAAAAAAAATGTAATTACGATTCGAGCATGAGCGATCGTGACCCTGACGATTCTTCTCTCTAATATAATATAAATCGACTTATAATCTTAGAAGGGTCTAGTCAAATCACTTGAATTATCACACGATCATACTCGATACCACCGGTGGAGCATTTACAATATTTTTTTTTGTTTTTTTTTTTGTTGCAAATATGCTTTTTCTTTCTTTACATTACGACGACTCTCGCGGAGGCGGCACATTCTTCTCTCTCTCTCTCTCTTCACAACACGATTAGATTTTTTTCTTCTTCTTCTTATTTTTTTTCTTTTTTTTTTTTTTTTTTTTTTTTTTACAATAAAATCCTAGTACATAGCAGAAAATATTGCGAAATATTGAATACACGTGTAATTAATAATAAAAAGAAATTCAATGTCTTTTTTTTTATATTCAATGTATTTTTTAGATTTATTTCTATTTAATGTTAAAAAGATACTGAATCTCTTTTTTAATAATAAATACCACATGTAATCAATATTTTGTAATATTTTGTACTACTAGGGAAAGATTCATAATTAAAGTATCAGAAAGTGGGGATAATACATATTGGGACATATTGAATCTCTTTTTTAATAATAAATACCACATGTAATCAATATTTTGCAATATTTTGTACTACTAGGGAAAGATTCATAATTAAAGTATTAGAAAGTGGGGATAATATAACGATAATGATGATGAACATGTAATGAGATGGTTATTTATCTCAAAATATTACAATCCGAACTTTTGACAGATTCTATTATATATCATCCCTATTTTTATACTTTTTTTTTTTTTTTTATTATTAATAACGAATCTCTCATAGTTTCGAACGAGAGAGATACGTTGCAGATTTATTTATTTCATTTCATTTCATTTCGTTCTTTCTTTCTTTCTTTCTTTCTTTTTAGTTCTTTCTTTCCATTTATAAATGGTAACGTAACGAAAAAGAAAAAGAAAAAAAAAATACATAAGCGAAATGTGGGTGGTGTTTCATCGACGTAAAACTTTTTATTCGATGATCTTTTCAATCTTAAGAATTGACCGCCTCCTCCTTCTTCTCTTTCTCTCTCTCTCTCTCTCTCTCTCTCTCTCTTTCAACTCCCATTTCACCCTCTCCCACTTAACTCTCTCTTTTTCTTTCTGTTTTTCTCTTCTCACCCTCTATCTCCTTTTATCTTCTCGTTTTTGTTACTAAAAAACGACGGATTCGTATTTTTCATCTTCACGAGTCTCTTACACATATATATATATATATATTTTTTTTTTATACATATACATATATATATATATATATATATATATATATATATATTTATATATTCATATTCATATTCATATTTATTTTGTAATATTTTTTGACTCCACTTGTTCCGCGCCTTTTCTAAATCATTCGCATCTTTGTATTTTTCTTCTTTTTATTTTTTTTTTCTTCCTTTCATTTATCTTTCACTTTCTCGCCATTATTTTTCTTTCTCTCGCTCTTTCTTTCGATATTTTTCTTTAATTTTATTTTTTATCCTTTTTTTTTGTAATTTTTTTATATTCTCTCGCTCTCTCTCTCTCTCTCTCTCTTTCTCTCTCCTTCAAATCTTTCACTCTTATCATACGCACACACAAAACACAACACAACACAACAATACACGCATACCATCTCCTCTCATATTTCTTTTATGAGATCAATTCGCACATGGCGAACATATATTTTCCTTCGTACAATTTCTATACTTTTTTTTTTTATGTTCTTTTTTGTTTTTGTTTTTTTTTTTCGAATTTTCGCAGTAAAACGAAAAAGATTTATTTTTGTGTGTTTTTTCTTTTTTTTTTTTTGATTTCGCATTTTTACACGAAAACTCGAAAATATATCGAAAAAAAGTCTTTCTCTTCTTCTTCTTCTTCTTTCTATTCTACTCCCAATAATTTTTTTTATTCTTTTTTTCTTTTTTACACGTCGATCGCTTTTCTCTTTCGGTCTACAAAAACAATTGGATATTATTATTACGAATAATAATTTGAGAACATTGAAAAAGCATCGATCGATTAGAAAGAAGAAAAAAAAAACGTATACAAGAAATTTAATGTGAAGAGGAGAGGTTCGAAGAGATATTATTTTTAATATTATATTATTAAAAAGAAAGAGAAAAAGACAAATTAAAATATATATATATATATATATATGTTATACAGATAAAATGAGAAGACAGAAAGAAAATAGAAAGTGAGGGGGAGAAGGGAATAAAGCTTCATGTAAAAATGGTAAAAACGCGCATGTTTTTTTTTTTTTTTTTTTTAAATTACTAAAGAAAGACAAACGGGAGATGTCACCTAGTTTGATTCGATTAAATTAATTAATTAATGAATTAATTAATTAATTGATCATTTAAATCGCATTTAAAATCACGAGCCTCGTTATCATATTTAAACGATACACTTTAAAACGCGAAAGAGATTAGACGAATCAAATGAAGAAAAAAACAAAAAAAAAAACAAAAAATGTAAGATTTAATAATTAAATAAAAATACTGACGTATATATATATATATATTAGTCGACGATCTCACCTAAATTCTTTCGAGATCTAATAATTAATAATCGCGAAAGTTGAACTCAAACCACTTTGCCAAAAGTATTCGTTTGAATGAACAATTAATCTTTGGAAATTAGTAGATAATTTATTACAAATTTATACAAAAATACGATCGTATTTACGTTGAAACGTCGAGTATGATATTAAAAAAAGAAGAAGAAGAAGAAAAAAAAAGAGAGAGAGAGAGAGAGAGAAAAAGAAAAGCAACAAATTACACAAATGTTGAGAATAAATAAATGAAATCAAACATGAAAATATATAATGAATAAGAAGTCAATAATTTAAAATCACACCGTACAAAACCAGCGTTACGTATAATAAATAATTTTTCTTTCGAATGAAAATGTGAACGTGAAAATGAAAATGAAACGCGCATTGAATAATTTAACAAACCACGTGTAACACGATGATATTTAAAAAAAAAACGTAATCTCGATGGGGGAGAAAGGAGGAAAAATAGAGAAAAATTTATGGGATTTGTTGTTTCAACGTAAAAAGAGACAAACAACACGCACACCATACGAGTGTGTGTGTGGTTGTGATTTGATTTTAAAATACGTGCCGAGAGAGATAAGCATGAAGAAAACGATCGTGGTTGTGTTTAATGATCTCATCGTTGCTTTCCAGGCGCGTTATTAGCGCCAAGAGCGAGAGCCACGATCGAGAAATAACGTTTTTTGTATTATTTTTTTGTTTTTTTTTTAATTTTCTTTCTTTCTATCTGAAAAACTCTCCAAGTGATATGTAGACGCCGTTTAAAAATCGATCTTTTAAACGGTATCGATGTTGGTCGAAAAGCTTTCACCTCGCATTCATTCTCTTTTATTTTTCTTTTTTGTTGTTGTCTCTATGTTTCGTCTCGATGTTTCAAACGAAAGAAAGCTGGACGATAAACTTTTTCCAAACAAATGTTCTTATATCTTTCTTTCCTTCCTTCCTTCCTTCCTTCCTTCCTACCTTCTTTCTTTTCCTTTTTCATTCTGTTATATCGTTGAGAAAAAATGATTTCAAAAATTGCACGAATGCGAAGACGATTGCGTGCTAAAAATACTATTAAAACTGTTTGTTAAAGTCTATTTTTAAAATGACTAAAAACTATCATTATATATTGATTTTTCTTTTTGTTCGCGTGAGAAAAATTTGCGATCCAGCGATCTATCGATCTAACGATCATCCTAGAAACGCGAAATTTGTTTTACGTTGTTCCAAATCGTGTTATTAGACGAGAGAATATATTTTAACACAAACACATTCTTCTCAAACACGATTTAGAGCAAGTACATCATTACATTGTTAATATTATAAAGAGATGTTTGTTAATATTATTACAAACGCTACATTAATCTTCAAATATTATTCCTCTTGCACGTATAATACGGACAAATATCTCTTTTCTATCGTGTACACTTTCTTTCTCTCTCTCTCTCTCTCTGTCTCTCACACACACACTCGTTACCTTTCTCTGTCTCTCTCTCTCTCTCTCACACACACATAATTTCACATTCTCTTTCTTTCTTTTTTTTTTTTTTTTAATCTTTTTATCTTCTTTCCTCCCTTTATGTTGAACGTAAATAACGAGCGTGCGTATATATACGTCTTTTCTCTTTGTGTTTGTATTCTTGCATATATTCTATATTTTGTTTATTATGTATGTGTTATATTATCTGCGCTTTTCTGTAAATTTACGCATATTTGATAGTTCGTACAAGGATAATATAATAGTGTAAGTCATGTGCGTGTATGTAATGCATGTATGTATGTATGTTTGCATGTCCCCATGTGAGTATAGTATGTGTGTATTAATGTTTGTTATATAATATTTATATGCCATCACAGAACGTATATTTCGCGTGTATAGTTTGTGCCACGTTTTTTTTTTTTTATTTATTTATTTATTTATTTATTTATTTATTATTATTATTTTATTTCTTAATTCTTCGTGTATCATAAAACGACTTAATGTGAAATTTGATTTGTTAAAACAGCCTCTCCGTTCTCTCCTAACACTTTCTTTACTTCTTCTTCTTCTTCTACTTCTTATTTCTTTTTTTTTTCTTCTTTTATTATTATTATATTTCATCTCTTTTTACTTTAATTGCACCCTAACGAACGTAGCGAGAGATTATATTATTTAGATTTGTCAAAATTTTGAAAAGGTGATTAACAAATTTCATTACGTTCGCATAATTATTTTATCTCTCACTTACGATGTAGGATAAATCAATTGTTTTTATTTTTTTTTTCTTTTTTAAAGATACTTTCCCATTTTACGAATTATCCAAATTGTTCTTTTTTTTCACTTTGTTTTTTTTTTCATTAACAGGTTGAGTACCACGTCAATCATAAGTGACTGACATTAGACTTTACTAGGTTCAGGCCGTGTCAGACGTCAGTGCCTGACACTCAACCCTTTCGTTTTGCCACACGTCGGCCTGACAAAGATTTACCTAAAAATGTCGCGTGACACTCAACGTGTTAAATGATCAGAATACTTTTAAAAATAATAATTGTATTAATATAATAATTAAAATTTCCAAATTGAGGGGATGAATCATCGATAAATCGATTCAATCAAATGAATTGATACGAAATAAATTCGTAATAGATGGGAATTATCTGTAATATTATTATTATTAATTGATTACCAATCGTAAAAAGATATGAATAAAATTTGTCATTCAACGAAAGCTTTTCTTTTCTTTTTTTTTGTTTTTGCCCAATAAAATTTCGATGATACTTTTTTTTCTTCAAATGTTTCCCCTCTTTCTTTCTTTTTTTTTTTT